GTTAACCTTAGTTTGTGGCATCTCTTTCTAAATAACTCAAATGAAGAATCAGTAGTTATATTTTCCCTTTCCTATATTTTGGGTCAAAGATTTTTTTTTTTTTTCCCTTAGGCTTACTCTGGCCTTAGAGATATTATTGTAGTTCCTTCAAAATAACAGAAGTGAATGAAAGCCCATCATATGGGACAAACTGCTTTTATAAGTAGCATTGAGTAATACAAGTCACCCAGGCAAACTGCTAGTCATCTGTTAATAATTAGTAGTCTATAGTGAGTTATCCTCCTAATAAAGATCAGACCATAACAAGACTTTCTTTTAAAAATTTTCATATCACTTTTTTTCTACCTATATTTTAAAAAATATTTGGAAGTCTTTGAGCATTTGTATAATCACAGGACAAATTTGCTATTAATAGTATTTAGGAATTTAGATGTAAAATTATCTGTGATTATCTCTGAGGATAATGACAAGTAATTCAAGCAATGAAAAATTCAAATATACATTTGCTTCACCACATAACTACATCACTGCTGGTGGATACATGAAAGAGGAACCCATACTATTCTGGCTGATGCCCAGCTTCCCAGGAATTAGTGGGATATAGTGCTGGACATGACGTTACCTTGAGTACATGACAGTCAGCCCCTAACCAGGCTCTGATTCATAAGACTAGGAGGTATTCACTTTAAGTCCTTGGGTAAGATATGAACTTGTGGTAATTGGGCCATTTATGTCAAATGTCTCCACTATTCTTTTCTTTCCCAGTCTTGTTTATTGGTGTTGTTGTGTAAAAAATAAACACTTTATTGGTGGTGTTGTGTAAAAAATAAACACAAAAACCCACAAAAAAAGCAAAATAGGCAGCCAACGCTGCTCATCTTCTTGGGAGTATTTAGTGTTTCAGTGTCCGAGTGTGTGTCTGACAGGGCCTAGGAGCAACTACATCAGAAAGGTACTTTTCTGTTTTTTTCCTTACAGAGTTGTAGGCAGAATCTGGAGCTGGAGTTGGCTGTCATGTCCAAGTTTGTCTGCTTTTAAAATTTTGTTTGTTTGAATTTGCAATGGTAAGATGAACTGCAGTATAAGATGGGCTGTTTTGATATAGTGCAGTCATAATAGCATTTGTTTTTCAAGCTTCACATGAATAAATTTTTTTATTTTTTATTCCACCTAAAGATGTGTTACCTTACTGCATCAGAGATTATACTAAAGATATGACTGTAAGTCCGTCTTTGCTTCATTCCATTTTACTCAAGCACAAATAAAATTAAATACTTTGTAGCCTATGAGTTCTTGATAGATTCAAAATGATTAAAAGTTAATAGTAATTTACACATATCTACAAATTTAGTATACCTTATAAAAATTATACATTTTGATATGTTTAAGCATTAAGAATATATACAATGTGGTAAATTGTAATTACAATTTAAATAGCAGACCAAATTTTAAAATTGTTAGGATTTTATTTTATAGTTGAAATGAATTAAAATTAATAACAGTCAAAAGTAAAATATAATTCTCAGATCCCATTATTTTATTGAGACCATGAGCAGGCAACTCCAGCCATACATTCTGATGTATTTATAAAATATTATATGTGTATTAAAATAAATGTGACAATTTAGTTATACATTCTTCTTCTAATTTTTTAATTTATGCTAACCATAGTGATGGGAGATATTTGCTTATACAGGAGAACATAATTTATTATTTTATTTTAAAATAAACTTTAGGCTAAAACTCCACATCATGTCAAGAAATGCAGGTAATAGTAGTTATTTTATTATTATACTTAAGTTTTAAAAATAGCAAGATAGACAAAATGTTTGAGCTACATGCACATGAAAAATGGAACTTAACAAAAAGCCTAAGAAATGGATCCAAATGTACATTTAAGCACTTCCTCCGAAACCTATATAACAACATATGAAAAAAACAATACATGTGGTTTATAAACCAGAAAGTTTAAAAAATCTCTTCTAATGTTATTTTTATTAAAACATGTTTACTCATTGGTATTTTAATTGGAACTTGGCATAATCTCAGAGACTTGAGTCTCCTGTCACTATATTCAAACAAGAGTGTACTAAAAGATTGTTTATTTTCTGAAGTTCGCCTCTGCTCTCCCAAAGGTTGTTGCTTGCTTACTAAAGAAACATGTAAATCTATGATTTAAGCTTTCATTGTACAGTGATTCCATTCTGCCACTGTGACCAAAAGTATCTGATTGCTGATCAAATTCTCTGTATTCGTTTCACCTTTCCCCCACTCTCTGTTAGGTTCTGAGCTCATGCCCAAAGCACTGTCCACCAGGATAGTGGGAGGCATTTGGTGGTTTTTCACACTTATCATCATTTCTTCGTATACCGCTAACTTAGCCGCCTTTCTGACAGTGGAACGAATGGAATCCCCTATTGACTCCGCTGATGATTTAGCTAAACAAACCAAGATAGAATATGGAGCAGTAGAGGATGGTGCAACCATGACCTTTTTCAAGGTAAGTTCTGCTATTTCCTAAATTTTACAAATTAAAATGATAGAGTACAAACTTCACTAAATTCGCTAATGTAAGGGTGTAACCACGCCATTTTTTGTGAACAATACTTAATAATAGCATATATATCAAGGGGTGGAGAGGTGGACAACTGAATAAATGCTCATCAAGATCAATCATTTTAATCTTTGAAAATACTAAGGAGGTTTCACTTTACAGTATTTTATTCCTGTTTTGAGGAAAATCAACTCAAAGGTAACATTTTTTTTTCTAGTAATTTATTTCAATAAAACAAAATGAAACTGTGATAGTAGGATATTCAGAATCTACAAAACTTTGCTATTTCAGAAGAATAGAATAATTACCTGGAAAAATGTTTCCCATACATACATTTACTTTTGTTGAAATTAAGCAAGATACAGGACTTAAAAAAACAGAGACAGTTTTTATTATCTATACATTCACCTAGCTAATATTCTGGGAAACAGAGTTGAAATGGGCTGCCCCATTTAACTCACAGTGCTTTCCAGAGAGACAGCCCTGTGGAACATTTAAATGAAAGTGTGCTTGTAAAAAGTTTCTGTCATATAGAGTGCTTTGCCCTCCTCTATTTTTTCTCTTTTCTCCTTATTCTGGCTCATCTCACTGGGTCAAAGTAGACCAGATGAAGGATTTCACTTGAGGTAGTCATTATCACTTAATAGCTCCTTTTGTATCTTCCCAAGTATTTTTACATTATTTGTAGGTTGGGCAAATTATTAAACATTGGTATTTTCTTTCTCTGTTCACAGAAATGCAATTGGCAGTTCAAATGTGCAGTGGAAATAGTATTTTTTTTTTAAAAAAGAGAATGGATTTAAGCTATAAAATAAATTATTTCATGAAGCATTCATCAAGTTTCTATTGAGTGCCAGAAACTACACTATACATTGAGTATTCTAGGTCTCACTTCTGAGATTATAGTTTAGTTGGAGACAGAATAATAAATTTTAAAAATCCCTCAACTGGTTTTATGTGACTTAAGGCAATATTTCGTCAAACTCTGTAATTTTCTTTTTAAAAATATTTATAAAAATAAATCAACTTTATTTTTTCTTCTTTTATTTATTGTACTTTAGATTCTGGGGTACAAGTACAGGTCATGCAAGATTGTTGCATAGGTACATTCATGGCAAGGTGTTTTGTTACCACCATCCCCCCATCAACTATACCTGACATTTCTCCCCGTTATCGCTCTGCCACCCTCTCTCCCACTATCCCTCCCATAGCCCCTCCAACAGGCCCCAGGGTGTGATGCTCCCCTCTTTGTGTACAAGTGTTATTGTTCAACACCCACCTATGAGTGAGAACATGCAGTGTTTGACTTTCTGTTCTTGTGTCAGTTTCCTGAGAAGGATTGTTTCCAGGTTCATTCATTTCCCTGCAAAGGACACAAACTCATCATTTTTTATGGCTGCATAGTATTCCATGGTGTGTATGTGCCACATTTTCTTTGTCCAGACTATCATTGATGGGTATTTGGGTTGGTTCCAGGTCTTTGCTATTGTAAACAGTGCCGCAATGAACGTGTGTGTGCATGTGTCTTTATGATAGAATGATTTATAGTCTTTAGGGATATACCCAGTAATGGGATTGCTGGGTCAAATGGAATTTCTATTTCTAGATTCTTGAGGAATTGCCACACTGTCTTCCACAATGGTTGAACTAATTTACACTGCCACCAACAGCATAAAAGTGATCCCACTTCTCCACATCCTCTCCAGCATCTGTTATAATGCCCGCCATTGTAACTGGTGTGAGTTGGTATCTTAGTGTGATTTTGATTTGCATTTCTTTAATGAATGGTGATGATGAGCATTTTTTTATATGTTCGTTGGCTTCATATATGTCTTCTTTTGAAAGTTTCCGTTCATATCCTTTCCCACTTTTGGATGGGTTTGTTTGCTTTTTTTTCTTGTAAATCTGTTTCAGTTCTTTGTAGATTCTGGATATTAGCCCTTTGTCAGATGGGTGGATCGCAAAAAATTTTTTCCCTTTCTGTTGATTGCTAGTTCACTCTAATGATTGTTTCTTTTGCTATACAGAAGCTCTGAAGTTTAATTAGATCTCGTTTGTCTATTTTGGCTTTTGTTGCCATTGCTTTTGGTGTTTTAGTCATGAAGTCCTTGCCTGTACCTATGTCCTGAATGGTTTTGCCTAGGTTTTCTTCTAGGGCTTTTATGATGTTAGGTCTTAGGTTTAAGTCCTTAATCCATCTGGAGTTAATTTTAGTGTAAAGTGTCAGGAAGGGGTCCAGTTTCTGCTTTCTTTACATTGCTAGCCAATTTTCCCAACACCATTTATTAAAAAGGGGAACCTTTCCCCATTGCTTGTTTTTGTCAGGCTTGTCACAGATCAGATGGTTGTAGATGTGTGGTGTTGCTCCAGATACCTCTGTTCTGTTCCATTGGCCTATGTCTCTGTTTTGGTACCAGTACCATGCTGTTTTGATTACTGTTGCCTTGTGGTATAGCTTGAAGTCTGGCAGCATGATGCCACCAGCTTTCTTCTTTTTGCCTAGGATTGTCTTGGCTATGAAGGCTCTTTTTCCCTTCCATGTGAAGTTTTAGGTGTTTTTTTCCAGTTCTGTGAAGAAGGTCATTGGTAGTTTGATGGGGATAGCATTAAATCTATAAATTTCTTTGGGTAATATGGCCATTTTCACAATACTGATTCTTCCTAACCATGAGTATGGAATGTTTTTCTGTCTGTTTGTGTCTTCTCTTATTTCCTTGAGCAGTGGTTTGTAGTTCCCCTTGAAGAGGTCCTTTACCTCTTTTGTTAGTTATATTCCTAGGTATTTTATTCTTCTTGTAGCAATTGTGAATGGGAGTTCGCTCTTGATTTGGCTCTCTGTTTGTCTGCTATTGGTATACAGGAATGCTTGTGATTTCTGCACATTGATTTTGTATCCTGAGACTTTGCTGACGTTGCTTATCAGCTTAAGGAGAGTTTGGGCTGAGATGATATGGTCCTCTAAATATACAATCATGTCGTCTGCAAATAGAGACAATTTGACTTCTTCCCTTCCTAACTGAATACCCTTTATTTCTTTTTCTTGCCTGATTGCTCTGGCTAAAACTTCCAATACTGTATTGAATAAGAGTAGAGAGACAGGACATCCTTGTCTACTGCCAGATTTCAAAGGGAATGCTTCCAGTTTTTGCCCATTCAGTATGATATTGGCAGTAGATTTGTCATAAATAGCTTTTATTATTTTGTGATAGGTTCCATCAATACCTAGTTTATTAAGAGTTTTTAGCAAAAAGTGCTGTTGAATTTCGTCAAAGGCCTTCTCTGCATCTATTGAGATAATCATGTGATTTTTGTTTTTGGTTCTATTTATGTGGTGGATTATGTTTATGGACTTGCGTATGTTGAACCAGCTTTGCGTATCTGGGATGAAGCCTACTTGTTCATGATAGATAAGCTTTTTGATGTGCTGTTGCAATTGGTTTGCCAGTATTTTACTGAAGATTTTTGCATATCTGTTCATCATGGAGATTGGACTGAAGTTTTCTTTTTTGATTTTCTGCAGAGTTTTGATATCAGGATGATGTTGGTCTCATAAAATGAGTTGGGGAGGATTCCCTCTTTTTGGATTGTTTGGAAGAGTTTCAGAATGATTGGTACCAGCTCCTCTTTGTGTGTCTGGTAGAATTCGGCTGTGAACCCATCTGGACCTGGGCTTTGTTGGTTGGTAGGCTCTTAATTGCTGCCTCAGCTTCAGCCCTTGTTATCGGTCTATTCAGAGTTTCAACTTCTTCCTGGTTTAGTTTTGGTAGGGTGCAAATGTCCATGAATTTATCCATTTCTCCCAGGCTTACTGGTTTAAGTGCATAGAATTGTTTGTAGTAATCTCTGATGGTAGTTTGTATTTCCATGGGATTGGTGATGATATCCCATTTATCATTTTATCGCATCTGTTTGATTCTTTTTAGTTAATCTGGCTAGTGGTCTATTTTGTTGATCTTTTTGAAAAACCAGCTCCTGGATTTATTGATTTTTTCAAGGGTAATTTTTGTGTCTTGATCTCATTCATTTCCTCTCTGATCTTAGTTATTTCTTGTCTTCTGCTAGCCTTTGAGGTTTTTTGATCTTACTCCTCTAGGTCTTTCCAATTGACAATAGGGTGTCAATTTTAGATCTTTCCTCATTTCTCATGTGGACATTTATTGCTATAAACTCCCTTCCAGACACTGCTTGAAATGTGTTCCAGAGATTCTGGTACGTTGTGTCCTCATTCTTGTTGGTTTTGAAGAACATCTTTATTTCTGCCTTCAGTTCATTGTTTATCCAGTCAACATTCAGGAGCCTGTTGTTCAGTTTCCATTAAGTTGTGTAGTTTTGAGTTCTCCTGAGATCTAATTTGATTGCACCGTGGTCTGAGAGACTGTTATGATTTCTGTGTTTTTGCATTTGCTGAGGAGTGATTTACTTCCAATTATGTGGTCAGTTTTAGAGTTAGTTCTATGTGGTGCCGAGAAGAATGCATATTCTGTGGATTTGGGGTGGAGATTTCTGTAAATATCTATTAGGTCCACTTGTTCCAGTTTTGCGTTCAAGTCCCGTATATCCTTGTTGATTTTCTGTCTCGTTGATATGTCTAATGTTGACAGTGTAGTTTTAAAGTCTCCCACTATTATTGTGTGGGAGTCTAAGTCTCTTTGTAGGTTATTTAGAACTTGCTTTGCGTATCTGGGTGCTCCTGTGTTGGGTGCACATATATTTAGGATCGTTAACTTTTCTTGTTGTATTGAACCTTTCACCATTATGTACTGTCCTTCTTTGTCTCTTCTGATATTTCTGGGTTTAAAGTCGATTTTAACCAAGACTAAAATTGCAACCCCTGCTTCTTTTGGCTCTCCATTTACTTGGTATATCTTCTTCCATCCCTTTATGTGTCTGCATGTGAGATGGGTCTCCTGAATACAGCACACTGATGAGTTTTGACTTTTAACCCA